CCCTTACTGAATGGGGGAGGCAACCTTGTGACAGAGGATGCAGAAAAAGCTGAAGTGCTCATTGCCTTCTTTGCCTCAGTCTTCACAGGCAAGGTCAGCTCCCAGACTACTGCACCGGGCAGCACAGTTTGGGGAAAAGGTGAGCAGCCCTCAGCGGTGAAAGAGCAGGTTAGGGACTATATGTGTACAAGTCCCTGGGACTGGATGGGATGCACCCAAGGGTGCTGAGGGAATTAGCTGATTTGATTGCAGAGCCACTGGCCATCATCTCTGAAAACTCATGGAGATCAGGAGAGGTCCCAGATGATTGAAAAAGGGCACACATAGTGCCCATATTTAAAGAAGGGGAAAAGGAGGATCCAGGGAATTGCAGACCAGTCAGCCTCACCTCAGTCCCTGGAAAAATCATGGAGCAGGTCCGCAAGGAATCTATTTCTAAGCATTTGGAGGAGAAGGCGAGTAGGAACGGTCATCATGGGTTCACCAGGGGCAAGTCATGCCTGACCAGCCTGATTGCGTTCCGTGGCAAGGTGACTGGCTCTGTGGATGCATGGAGACCAGTAGATGTGATATACTTTGATTTTAGCAAGGCCTTTGATGCAGTCTCCCACAGCATTCTCCAGGACAAGATAAGGAAGTATGGGCTGAATGAATGGACTGTAAGGTGGATAGAAAACTGGCTGGTGCATCTGTCTCAGAGAGCAGTAGTCAATGGCTCAGTGTCTAGTTGGCAGCCAAGGTCAAGTGGAGTGCCCCAGGGGTTGGTCCTGAAGCCAGTTTTGTTCAATACTTCATCAGTGACCTGGAAGATGACATAGAGCGCACCCTCAGCAAGTTTGCAGATGACACCAAGCTGTGGGGGGGAGTAGTAGATATGCTGGAGGGCAGGGCTAGGATTCAGAGTGGCATAGATAAATTGAAGAATTGGGCCAAAATAAATCTTATGAGGTTCAGAAAGGACAAGTGCAAGGTCCTGCACTTAAGATGGAGTAGTTCCATACACCAGGACAGGCTGTGGGCTGAGTAGCAGGGCGTCAGCTCTCCAGAAAAGGACCTGGGGATTACAGTGGAAAATAAGCTGAATATGAGCCAGCAGTGTGCCCTTGTTTCCAAGAAGTGTGTGTGTGTCTGTGCCTGCCCATGTAACTGGGGTTGGGAATATCATACCTGTATCATACCTGCCTCTCTCTCACACTCCAACAACCTTTCTGTCTTCTGTTACTGAGCTCTTCCCCTGGGCTGCAGGGCCCTGCTTCTTTTATATCATGACAAGAGTATGGGATCAGACAGAGGTAAGAAACATGGGGTCCCCAATGTAGGCAGAAGAGTGCTGAAAAGAGATGGGGTGATAGATGCAGGAAGCTCTGAACAGGGCTTTCATTGGAGATTTAGACGGGGATTTAGCCATTGGATGGGAGATGAAGAAAGGGTGTTAGAAAGACCCTGGCTCCATGGAGCATATTCAGACACCAGCAGGAGCAGGAGCTGGGAGAAACTAAGAAGCCAAAGGAGGGTAGGCCTCCAGATCTCATGCTCCTGTGTTGAGGCAGGCAGCTGCTCAGAAGGGCAGTGGGGGTGAGAACTACCCTTCTTCAGAGATAATCATCATCATAATGATAATGGTGATGCAGAGGGTGGTGATAGTTTTTCTTGAGAGCAAGAGTAAACCTTCCTAGGGGTCTGCATCAGGCTCCTGTGGTTGCAGAGGGCTGTGGGTCAGACCTGGGCTCAGGTTCAAGTGGCATGAGAGCACTTCCACCCTCCCTGCCCCCCTACCCCACCCCGGGCTCTTGGCTTCTGGCTGGGAGAGCAGAGGAAGGGCCTCAGCTGTCCTGGTGGGTTTTTGTTAGAGCAGGTCTCTGCCTTCAGTCACTGTGTCCTTGGCACAATAATACAGGGCTGTGTCTTCTGCCTTCAGGCTGGTCATTTGCAGATGCACCAGGCTGCTGGGGTTGTCCCTGGATATGGTGAATCACCCTTTTACTGTGGAAGAATATTTTATATTCGTTCCACTGGGACCACTAATGTAGGCGACCCACTCCAGTCCTTTTCCAGGAGCTTGGCGCACCCAGTGCATAGTGTTGCCACTGAAATCAGCTCCAGACCATTTACAGGAGAGGCGCAGAGATTCTCCAGGCTTCTTCAAAGCCCCTCCAGACTCCACCAACTGGACCTCAGCCTGAACCCCTGGAAATACAGGAAAGGATGCAGAATTGTGGCTAATGAGCCAACCCTAGAGTCTGTGCTTGGTTTCAGGAAAGGGAAGTTACCTGTGCAAAGTGCTGCAAGGAGGAAGACATGAAGCCAGAGCATCCTGATGAGTTGGAGGGAGTGATCAGATGGAGAGGATCTCTGGTGTGTCCTCCGGGGTGTCTGGGGGTTGTTCTGTCCCAGAGAGTGTGTGATCGGGCTCTGAGCTCTGCAGAGTCAGGGCACTCAATGGTTTTAAGCAGGAAATTGGGTCACAGCATTTGCATGTGCTCATTTTATAAGTGTACTTTGCAGATCTCCCTGAACACAGTGATAGTCTGCCTAGTCCTTAACAGAAGTTTTGAAAGCCAAGGGGCTTCGAAGCCTAAAGAGGCAGGTAAAGATTTTGGAACTTGCTTGAATGGAAGATTCTTTTCTTTTTTACCTGGGTGAATCCTTTCAAAGCAAGTGAATCCCCTTCCCTCCAAGGAATGACTCCTTCCCTGAGATGGTTTTATAGATGTGGATGTGGGCAGTGAGGCATGGATCCATGCCATCTCCTGCTGGATTAAGTCCTGGACTCTGAGAGTTGCTTACTTCATTCAAAAGACCACAATTCTGGGATAGAAGTGGCAACTGTTTCATAAGAGTCAAGGACACTCTTGAAAAAACAAAGTCTGAACAAGCAGTTATACAGCTGTCTGTGTCGGGAAAGAGAACCTGCAAATGCTGCACAATCTGTCACAGTTGGGGAGAACATGGTTCCAGGTGATAAGTGTTGTACCTTGAACCTTTGAAGGAAATGGGGGGGGGGGGGGGGGGGGCAAAAATGGGAAACAAATGGGAGGAAAGAATATCCATATCATTCTCAACATCTTTTCCCCAAGTAGTTAATAGTGTCTACATTGCCTTTGGCTCTTGGGCAGCCCCTTGGGATGCTGTTGCATTGCATTTATGGACAGTATTTTCCTTCCACAACCCACATTTTGGATTCAGGCACTGAAGAGCAGAAGCCCATAGCAGCACAAGTGCAGCCCTGCTCTGGGGGGGTGTCATTGGCCTTGCTACTTACAGCTCTCCTGCAGGCTGTGATCTGTGACCAATGCCTCTAAGGAACAAATTGTGTTAATTCAAGAATCTAAATATTATCCTCAGTACTTGAGTTTTAGGTACCCAGGCTGTACCCTCCTGGCTTTTCAGCTGGCTTTGCATTAGTCTGCCCTGGCCATGGAGCTCTTTGAATTCACTTTGAATTCCGGGCACTTGGAATGACTGAAAATGAGGCCTCAACATGCTCTGGAGATGCTGATCACTATGTTTAGTTAGTGCATTGAGAATGATGAAGTTAATTAAACCCTGGGCCCATCTTACCTAGTGTCATAGTTGTCAGGACATGGACTAAGAGCCCCCATTCATGGATCTACAGTCTTCCTCCTGTTCTCCTTTTGCCCTACGCCCTGAAACATGAGTCTCCATGTTCTATGACCGGCTTCTGAGGGCACATTCTTGGTGGGGTAGGAGAGTCATGCTAATGCACAGGTTGCTGAAGTTGAAAGGTATTTCCATGGCTGTCTATGGGCAAGGACTTTCAGGTGAGAGCCATGGAACTCCATCCTTGAGGCCCCTCTGAAATGCCCAGCTCTGCCCTGTATCTCCAGGTGCAGCCAAGTGGGGCACATTGAGTAACTCCATGCTCTGAATTTCTGAGGAATACAACCTTCCCAGAAGAGAGGCATTCTTGTTTCTGAAATGACTCTGATCTATACCTTGGTGTCCAGTGCTGGTCTTATTAATTCACTCTTTAACTGTTGACTTTGTGAAAGGCTTATAAGGACTAATGAGCTTCTTTGGGGCAAGCAGTATATGGCAGGCTTAGCTTTTCACCACTGAGAACAGTTTTGGTTCATGCTATTACAGGGCCCCTACGTCAGCTGTATGTGCACTGATTAATGACTGTATTGATTCATACTTGGCAAGGGCTGCAGTGTGCACCTTGTCAGCGCAGGAGATGGAGTGACCCCCAGAGCAGTGGCTTCCGCCTGGCCTGCACTTGTGGGAAGCTCCTGGGTGCCTCTGCAAGGTTGGAGAGCAATTCCAGCCCATCCAGGACCTGGCTACCTGGGAAGAACCTGCTTCCCTTTTATGTGCAGCCCCTGTCCAGCTCCGTGTCAATGTGGGGTTGTCTAAATATGGCTCTTTTAAGTGGGATTAGCCTAAAATTGCCACTTTTAAGGCACACTAAGGCCAGTCTCCACATGTAAACACCCTTAATGCACCCTGAAATGGTGATTTTAGGTTAATCCTGACAATATTTCATACCTACTTAAAGCAAGTACCAAATTTAAGCTGGCATAGCTAAATTACTTTAGTCCACATGTAGACGCTTAATGAGCATTAACATGGTGTGCGTCAGTGGATACCCTCTTACTCACTGTGTGTCTGGATAGTCTCTTACTTACTATGTGTCTAGATACCCTTTTACCCACACAGCTGTGCTTGTCAGCCAGAGGAGAATAGGTTGGAGTTATCCAGTGAACCAGCTGTGGCAATGAGGACTGGTTGGGCTGTGGGAGGTCACTGTGCCTGCTTTGCTGAGAGAGCCTGTCCTGATGCTTTCTGCCTCTGCCTGGTTCTCAGCACCTTCCCACCAGATCAGGGGAGAGTCTTCTCCTGAAGGAGTCACTGGGCCCATCGGTTACCTTGTGGGCACAGAGCCCCAAGGTTTTGTTCAGTGTCTCCTTGGAAGCTTCATGTCCAGGCCATGGATTATGATTTGATGCTGGAGAAGCGCAGCCCTGTGCTTGCAACTTAGTGCTCACAGGACAGTGAGGGATTCAGGACCCGGGTCAGGAAACTGGTGTCAGACTTAGGGCTCTGTTCATCATCAGTCTGTGCTTGCATGCATTCTGGATTCTGCATGGTGGTCTTTCCCTTCTGTTTCTGGGCGAATGCAGACAGGTTTTTGTGGGAGAATGGAGTATTAGGGCAGGACTCCTGGACTCAATTCCAGGTCTGGGGTCTTAGAAGCTCTGTTGCACTTGAGGTCAAAAGGAGTTTAGCCCATATGCAGCAGAAGCTGGTTCTGGCTCCTAATGAAGCAGTTAAAAGGGCCAAGCTGGATCCCAGAATTTCACAGTGGGTGCTTAAACATTTCAAGGCCTGGTGCTCATGCCCAGGACCTTTCACTAGGTAACCTGTTGTAGAGCAGTTCAGGAAGAGGATGACCAGCCCATGGAAGCACAGGCAAGTGTTGTCTAACAAGCCCCCCACCTCCATTTATAGTATAGTCCTCCAGCTTCAGGCTGCTCATATGCAAATAGCAATGGTGCTGGGTTTGGACTGGCAGCAATATTGGTGGCAAGTGTGCCTGAAGGTGTAGCCAGACATGTTTATTTCTTTGGTTTTTTCCAGGGCCTGACTCCTCCCCAGCAGCTTAGCATGCTGCTTCTTTCCCTGAAGTGGGTTTTTGCTGTGTTTAGCTGAGAGCAAATCAGGATGATCAAGAGCCCCTGGGTAAGCAGGACACCTGGCTGCTTTCTGTGGGGTTTTTGCCTTGCTCTAGATGCTGTTTGTCTCACTGTGCGATGAGCACAGTAATACATGGCAGTGTCATCGGTCCTCAGGCTGCTCAGCTGCAGGAAGACTGTGCTGGTGGAGGTGTCCTTGGAGATGGTGAACCGGCCCTGGAAGCCCTGGCCATACCAAGTGCCATCAGAGCTGGGGTTGATCTCTCCTACCCACTGCAGTCCCTTCCCAGGTGGCTGACGTATCCAGTACATGTTGGTGCTGGTGAATGTGTAGCCAGAGGTTTTACAGCTCAGCTTTGCCGACTCTTCAGGTTTCTTGACTTCTGCTCCAGACTGGGTCAGCTGGATCTGGGAGCTGCCACCTGCCAGTAAAATATCCTAAAATCCTGATCATGATTTCTTTTTTTCTTGCTCCTGCAATGATGTCTTTGGTTCTTTTCCCCCTGTTATGAACTCTCTGTAGGCATTAATGCTTTGATGCACATAACAGTGCAGGGCCGTACAGCAATATTCTGGTGCCCGTTTCTTTGACAGGAAAATGATGTATGGAGTAGAAGGAAGGGCACTTCCCAACTAAAACTGATGGCATTTTGGCCGGTTAGTCCACTAAACAGAGTCAAGTCCCCTGAACTCCTGGCCCCCAGGCCCTAGCTCTTAACCATGAGACTCTCCTTCCTACCTCAGCCCTGCCTCACTAACCAGGTATCTGCACGTCCCCTGCACTTACCTGAGCAAGCCGCCAGGAAGAGGAGCAAACCCAGCCCTGTCCTGCCCATGGCACCCTGAACCTTGGCAGACTGTGCAGACTCTGACCTCTCTGTCTTTCACTGATGGCAGGTTCTCAGTGCTCAGGGAAGAGCCGCTCTCCTTTATCAGGAAGGGATCCTGTCTCCTTTGCATATAGTCATCACTAATCATTTGCATGAACCTGAGCTGCACCAGTTCCTGCAAATAAATAACTCCAGAGCCCCAAGGAGTAAAATGTTAGAGGGAGGCTTGATCACTGCAGCCAACTCTAGGTCCTGATTCAGTATAGCCCAGATTGTGTTGGACTTGGATGGAACTAAGCAAGGAGCTTGAAGGACAAGAATTAGACCCTGTTTCCAGGGGTGCTCAATATGGGGTTGGGGGGTGGGGGTGGGGAAGAGGGTGGACTGAAATGTAATCCCTGTGCTGTTATGTCATTGTTACTGCAAATACTTTACTTTATAACTATTAGAATTAGTTACTATTAGGATCCCAGAGAAAGCACTTGGCAAATTTCAGCCTCACTGTTCTGCAGAGAATGAAATCTGCAGCACTTTTTACAATGTTTCTCTTGATTTTTAGCATGAGACTTGACCACCACCATGTGGCTGTGCTCTTTTATTATGTGGATAAAATCAGTCTTACCCTGGGAATGTCTTCCTTTTAATCTACCAGCAATTGGACTCTGATCTTTTGTCAATGAGGAAAAGGTCAGGGATTTTGGTTTCTGTTTTTGGTTTTTTTTTTGGGGGGGGGGGGGGGGGGGGTTAAATTATTTTAATTATGGAAGATGTCATGGTGATGAAGCATCCTTGGAGGAGCTCCCTTAGAACCTGGCAAATCTCCCGGTCTTTATAGGCTCCCCGTTATGAATTTGTATGCCACCACAAGGTCCCCTCTCAACCTTCACTTGGAGAGGCTGAAAAGGTTGAGGTCCCTTAGCCTTTCCTTGTAGGGCCTTCCCTATAGGCCTCCAATCAGATGAGTAGCTCTTCTCTGGACCCTTTCCAGGTTGTCTGCATCCTGCTTGAACTACAGCATCCAGAACTGGACACAGTACTCAAGTTATGGCCTGACGAGTGCTGCGTAGAGAGCGAGAATCACCTCCCTGGACCTGTTTGTGAAGCACCTACGGATGCACAACAAGGTGCGATTGGCTCTGCTGACTCCTTCATCGCATTGACAACTCATGTTCATCCTGGAGTCCACAGCGACTCCAAGATCTCTTTCTGCCTCAGTGGAGCTGAGAAGGTCGCCCCCCAGCCTATAGGTATGATGGCAGTTTTTCCTCTCTAGATGCAGCACCTTGCACTTGTCCTCATTGAATTGCATCCTGTTATTCTCTACTCACTTCCCAAACCTGTCGGAGTCAGCCTGGATCTGGTTCCTCTTTTCCAGGGTGTTAACTTCACCCCATATTCTGGTGTCATCTACAAATTTGGGCAGGGTGCTTCCCACCCCGTCGAGATCACTGATGAAGATCTTGATCAGCACCAGCCCCAGAACTGAGCCGTGAGGGAAGTGGTGCTGGCTCCTACCCTGGGAGTCTTTAAGAAGTGGCTTGATGCCTACCTGGCTGGAGTCATTTGATCCCATTTTTCCTCCTGCCCAGGCAGGGGGTCGGACTTGAAGATCTACAAGGTCCCTTCCAACCCTACTTCTATGATTCTATAAGACACAGGCAAAAAACTCATTGAAGAGCTCTGCCTTGTCCCTGCTATCTGTTACTAAGCCCCCCTGCCCATCTTGTAGGGGTCCTATGCTACCCTGAACCCTCTTTTTGCTCCCAGTGTACCTAAAGAAGGACTTTTTATTGTCCTTAATCCCTGCCACTAGCCTGAGTTCTAGAGCTGCCTTGGTCTTCCTGACTGACTCCCTACAGATGCAGGCCAAGGAAGATTACTCCTCCTTGCTAGCTACCCCCTGCTTCCATTTCCTGTATGCTACTTTTTTTGCCCTTAATGTATCCTTGATGAACTTTGTGAGCCAAAGGGGCTTCCTAGCCCCTTTCCCCCCTTTTCTCTGCCATGGGATTGTCTCACTCTGAGCCCAAAGAATGGTATCCTTAAGGAATGACCACCCCTCCTGGACCCCCAAAACATTTAGGCTCTTGGTTCCTAGTACCCTGCTAACCAATCCCCTGAGCCTATTGAAGTCAGCCTTTTTAAAGTTTAGCACCTGTGTCCTGCTAGGTATAGTTCTCGCCCTTCTCTGGATAGTGAATTCTATCATTTGGTGATCGCTCTCCCCTAAGTTGTCTTGAATCTGCAGGTCCCCCACCGGGTTGTCCCCTGTGGCCAACACCAAGTCAAGCAAGGTGTTACCCCTGGTGGGCTTCCTTTCCTCCTGTGTTAGGTAGAGGTCCTGAGTGCAGGTTAAAAATCTGTGTGAACAGTTACATGTAACTGGCTGTTCCTCCCAGCATATGTCTGGGTAGTTAAGTTCCCCCATGACTATCATGTTACTAAACCGCCCAGCCTCTGACAGCTGTCTGGAAAATTCCCCATCTAGCTCATCCTCCTGGTGCAGAGGCCTGTAGTAGACCTGCACCACCAGGTCCCTTTCCTCCTGACCCCCTTGGATCCTAACCCACAGAGTCTCTGCTTGTCCATCCTCTGATCCCAATTTGATTAGGAAAGATGTGTTCTTTGACAGAGAGAGCAACACCCCCTCCATTTTTCCCTTCTCTATCTCTCCTGTGCAACCTATAGCCCTCTATTCCTACCACCCAGTCATGAGTAGAGTCCCGCCAGGTTTCCATTAGACCCAGTAGGGCAAAGTTACTGCTCGCAAGCAAGAGTTCTAGATCCTCATGCTTGTTTCCCATGCTCCTGGCATTTGTCTGCTCTGGGCACACAGGAGACCTCACATCTCATGGAATCAGTTTGACAGATGGGCCCCTCTGTTCTTCTCAGGATGGAGTCGCCTATGATGAGCACCCGGTGTCTCCTCTTCCTCTGGGTGTTCTGGCCTCCTCCAGTCTGTGCTGTGCGTGGAGTGGCCTCCTCTCCCGGGGTTTCCTCCTCCAATGTTGCCAGGGCCTCATACCTGTTCCCCAGCTGGACCGGGGGAGCTGATACTGCACCACCGTGAGCAGCCCTGGCTCTGGAGGGAACCTTCTGCCATTCCGCTGTGGGTGGCACCGCCCAGGGTGCTTCTGCATCTGGTGCTTGGCCCTGCAGAGAATGGAAATACCCATCAGTTTAATCCTCTGCCTCCCTGATCCCCCTCAGCCTACTAACCTCTGCCTGGCGCTCCCTCACTTGCCCCTCCAAGGCCTGAAGAAGGGCAGTTGTGGGGCAGGTGGGGAGACTC